TCACCCGTCAATGTTTCGGGAAAAAAGCGCATTCATTATGCGAGTAAATACCAGGGGTGTAGCTGGGGGTGGGAGGGCTTATGGGGCTTTCCCCGAAATCCCGCCGACCCTATAATAAACACATGCATTTTGACACCTCCTCCCCCTTTCCACACCCCAAGTCATGGACATCCCAACAACCACCAACCCCCCTGCCCCGCAAAAATGTTTTGGCTAAACCACTGGTAAATACGGTATACACCAATTTAGTTTCCCCGTCACTTGACCTATACACCTTTGGGAAATCAACATCATGTGATCTATACAACCATTCAGTTTCCTCACTAAATTTAGGGGGAAATTACACGTCACATTACACACCAATTCTCTCACCAATTCCCTATAATGCATTACCGTATTTACTCGCATAATAAGCGCACTCGCATAATAAATGCACCCCCATAATGGGTATCAATATTTTGACTTTTATTTTTTACCTGCCGTAATCAATGCACCTCCAATTTTCAGATCCGCGAGTCTCGAATTGCGTCCAATTTAGCGAGCCACCAAGCCAGTTTTTTTTTTTTTGCCGCCTGCGGTCAGGCCAAGTCAAGCCAAGCAGCTCTCGTAATGGACGCAAGTGCGTAGTTGCGGTAGTTACGGAAGTAATCAACCGTGGAACCGAGTGTTGCGCACACTTGGTGAAGCTTAGGTCGAGGAATTGCCGATACCCGGACATTCTTCGCCTATTGGATGCATTGATGTCAACAAACAAGCCGTCGTCCGTGGTCTGCTTTCAGACAGTGAAATCGTGGAAGCGGTAAGGTCTAATTTCACATACTCCGGGTAAATGCGTTTATTTCAGTGTGTCGAACCGAAAAAAATAGGGGTTCGGTTACGGTTCAGGTTCAGGTAAATTTATTTTGTTCCGGTTCAGTTCCGGTTCAATTAATTCGATCTGCAAACCGGTTCGCGAACCGGTTCAGAAATTATAAATGACAAATTGCAACATCAAAATAACAGAATCAAAAATCAAAATAACATCAAAATAAAATGATAAAAAAATTGCAACATCACGTTCTAGAAACGTGTTATGAAATGAGCACACATCAGCATTACGAGATTGTAGAAAAATGAAATCCCGTGACGCAATTTTTTTTTGCACAGCCTTCTCATTTTTTTTTTTTCCGTGCAAGCCGCGACCAGTGCAATACTGGTTCCTATGTCAAGATTCATGGATGCAGCGTTTGTCAAGATTCATGGATGCAGCGTTTATATTCCTAAGACTGAGTGGAGAAGAAAAATATGTAAGCGAGGGTGTGTGTCAGCTGACGGCACTTAAAAAACAAATGGCAGTGATAGCACATTCATTGTCAACAGCGCGCGGCCGAACCGTTTTGACATGAGCCGGTAACTGTTATTTTTTTTCCGGTTCAGTTCCGGTTCGGGTTCATCGCGATAACAATATAACGGTTCGGGTTCGGGTTCAGTTCCGGAAAAAATACCGGTTCGGTTCCGGTTTTCGGTTCGGTTCCGGTTCGACACCCTGGTTTATTTAATCTTCAAAAGAAAGGCATAGCGAGGTGCACGCTGTGCTGTAGGCTGAGTGTGTCTGGTAGCCTCTCCGCGACCGAAACTTGATCCGTGCGAGCGGGCTTCGGGGGTAGGCACTTGGACTTTGTAAAAGTTCTTGTCTCCGTGAACAAAACTTGATCCATGCAAGCGGGCTTCAGAGGTCGGGGGTTGGACTTCGTACAAGTTCTTATAGCCGCGGATCATACCTGAGCGTGCCTGCCGGATAATAGCAATATATATCGCTTAAGAACGGTCTGTTGCTTTTCGTGCTGAGTGAGCTTCGTAGGGCGCTTCTCCTTCGGCAAAAGGCACCCCAAAAGCGCCCTTAAAAGGTTTGCAATTTATAAAGCATGGTTATTGTGGCACGCCCCCGACCAGCCGTGAGTGCGCCTCCATCACTGGAGACGTGCCGCAGTACCTTGCTGTGTCATGTTGGCACCTAATGTGACATTTGCACAAAGTGTGTAAATGCAAAAATTTTACCCCGTGTAATGATATGTGTCAATTTTTCGGGAAAAAAAGCATGTCCATTATGCGAGTAAATATGGCACATGCATTAAAATACTTTAAAAGTAAAAATCACTGTGAATTATTTTTTTTCCGCTTGTCTGTCGTGTGAAGCAGACGACGACAACAACGTAGTTGCGTGCACCATTTGTCGTGCCATTGTTTCTCACTTCTGTCACTTCTGCTTGATGTTCTGCGCTTAAAGATTGGTTGGTCAATGCCACAAACGACAGTTCAGAAGTAGCGGCCCCACGTCCGTCGCAACTGGGAGCCGGTTCACCAAACACGCGGGCGAAGTTTGTCGACTTGAAGGTCAACGTCACTCTACTCAGCTTGACGGTTGACAGTGGTGCTGTCACTGTCATCCCGAGCACATTTTTGGGAATTCCAGCTTGCCCGATGCCCCCGGAGGGGGAGTTGACAGGGCCCGCCGTCCAGCAGTTGGACGTCCTCGGAATGTTTGTCGCGTCTCTTGAATGGGTGACCAAGCGAGTCAAGCAGAAGCTCTATGTGGTGCGTTCTCAAGTTGTTCCCTCGTTGGAATTTCCAACGATTCAGGTGCCGGGGGTGATCAAGTTTGTGGACCACTTTTCTGGAGGCTGCTACCAAGAGCCGTCCAGGCATGCTCGAAGGGACTTCTTCGACACAGCCGTTCCAGGGCCTCCATAAGCTTTGGGAGCTGAAAGTGGTACCGTATTCGATGCACGTTTCAAGGGTCCCAATCCCGTTACGCGACGCCATGAGGTCCTAACTGGATGAGACGGAGGCTCAAGGTATAATCCGAAGAGTAGCCAATCTGAAACCGCGGCGTGCCGGCATGGTTTCAGTGCACAAGCCATCCAGAAGCTACCGTATATGCGTGGACCCAACCAGCTCAACAAGGAGGTGCTACGTGAACGTCATATCCTGCCGGCAGTAGACCAGGTGCCGGGGCTTTTGGGCGAAGCAAGAGTCTTCTCAAAGCTTGATGCCACATCAAGCTTTCACCGGGTAAAAATGTCACTTTCATTACCCCGTTCGGACAGTTCTGCTTTACCTGGTTGCCATTCGGGATCACTTCGGCACCCGAATATTTCTGATGCCAGATGGCTTACATCCTGGAGGGCCAGGAAGGAGTCACTAATATGATTGACGACATTCTGGTGTTAGGTCGGGATTGTGCAGAACACGACATACGACTGACGGGAGGGTTTTGACCATTTGAAGAAGGCGGGCCAGACGCTGAACCATCAAAGTGCAAGTTTGCCATCACCAGTGTGGACTTTCTTGGCGTGCTAGTCAGCCAGAATGGCATTTCACTGGACCGTGAGAAAGTGGAGGCAGTCCAGCACATGGAACCAGCAGTTGACGTTGGGGGCGTACGCAGACTGTTGGGAATGATCCATCACGTGGGCCATCGTCTGCCGCATCTGTCCGATGTCACAGTGCCTATTCGTGAGCTCCTGAGCAAGCAAAGCGCTTGGGTCTGGGGACCCAGCCAACAGGCGGCCCTCCTCAAGCTGAAGACCATACTCTCTTCGGACGTCTGCATGGCCTGCTATCCTCCCGAGCATCCCACTATCCTGTCTGCTGACTCCAGCTCCTTCAGTCTGAGGGCAGTCCTGTTTCAGGACCAGCCATCTGGTGACAGTCGGGCTGTGGACCTTGCACTGCGGTCACTCACAGCGACTAATCAGACGTACAGTCAGACCGAGAAGGACGCCTTGGCAGTCACATGGACGGTATGTTGCTTAGACGAATACACCAAAGGACTCCGGTTTACGGTGGACACTGATCACCAGCTCTTGACGGCACTACTCAGCAAGGTGAACGTGGACCTTCTTCCGCCAAGAGTGCAGTGACTGAGGATCAAGCTGATCTAGTATCAGTACCGGATCTTTTATGTACCCGGAAAGCTCCTGGCAACGGCTGACTTTCTATCCAGGGTGCCGTTGGGTGAGGCAGCTTCATCATCCTGCAGCGGCATCGAGCTTTATGCACAAAGCGTGCATTACTCGATCCAAGTAATGCACAAAGCGTGCATTACTCGATCCCATCAGTTTCGAAGGAGTTCGTCGACAGCAGGCATCCGACGGTGTATGCGTGTTGTTGGCTAAGTTCTGTGACAAAGGTTGTCCCGCTCACCTAATGAAGTACTGGAGCTATCGCAGTGAACTGACAGTCTGTGAGGGTACACTCCTCAAGGGAGGATGTTTGTTGATTCCTGTATTGCTGCAACCCAACATCTTGCGGGCTATTCTTGAGGGACACCAAGGCGTGAATCGGTGCAAGGTACAGCTCGAGATATGGTGTGGTGGCCCAGCATAGGCAACCAGATCAAGATCACGGTTAAGACATGCGAGCGCTGCACAACCACCAAGATACAGCGAGCCAAACCCCTATTAGCGTCGCCTCCAACCCAGCTGCCATGGCAACAGGTGGGGGCTGATTTATCCTACTTGAATGGTCAAGATTTTCTGCTGCTGGTGGACTATCACTCACATTACCCAAAGGCAACGACACTGCGAGGAACGTCCAGTCCAGACGTTAATTCAGCCGCAAAAAGTGTTGTGGCATGTTTCGGCATCTTGGAGGTACTTCGGAGCAACAACGGGCCAATATCGTTACGTGATCAATTTGTTCACGGATTAGTCCGTCGTGTGAATCGGCCAATAGGAAGTGAACGTTTAACTTGCCCATTGTTCATTCACTACTGCCACGAACCCCTCTTAAAATTCCTTGTTTGCTGCTTTCGTCTTTCCCGAGACCAGCCCATATCACTGTGCACACCTTTTGCTGGGATTTGGACTCTACTGAGGACACCTCCCTGGCGGAGGCTCTACGAATTAACACGAAATCCGCAAACAGCTGTACAAGAGCTGCTCTAGACTATGACCGGCTTGAGTCTAGACACTGCCGCTGTTCCATGTTTATAAAAAAGGGGGAAAGCATGAACTTACCCTGACTTGAAGAGTGATTCGGTTCCATACAAACTGTTGGATGGGGTCAGGCTCCAAAGACACCTGCCAAACGTTGTCTCACTGAAGCCAATCCGTTTTCCATGGGGCTCCTGTAACTGTAAAATGTTGCATGTTAAGACAGCGGGATGTTAGTGAGCCCCAATGGGTGTCTGTCCTCTCCACTGTAAATGAGAAATTCTGCCAGTGCTGTACGACCGCTAGGCTGGGGTCCTTAACGTGCATCACGCAGAGGCGACACGCGACTGCATGCCAGTACGACGCTCATCCAGATCGAAATCGGCAGGAGCGGGGATTAAACCCCAGATCTCTGCAGCACGAGCTTTCATCCATGTTATCTAAGCTGCGTAACCGAGTTCTGAACCAGTGGGTGAGGAATATTTCTCGCCAAGCTAAAGGCAAACTGCAAACACACAAAAAAAAAGAACAGACAAAGAAATTGCTGGAAAGTAGACAAAAACATACCCTGTGGAGTAATGTTGTTGGCCAATGTGAGTGTAACACAATGTCTGTTGTCAAATTAAGTTTGCTGGCTGTTGGTTCGTCGTCCTTGCAAGTGTTTCGAGCGCTGCTAAACCCTTTCCATAGTACAAGCATGTAGTTCAGAATGGAGCGACGTATACTTTGCTAGTCGAGTGCTCAATATTTACGAAACCTAATCGTTGCAGTTATAGCCCTATTTCACAAGGGTGCTGCCATCTTGAAATATCATCAGTTCCAGGATGGGCAAAAACATTGTTCTGACGTCGCTACGCCAATAGAATACTTATAAGATATAAGCGTAACCATCACCCATTCTCGTTTTTCCTCTCCTTTTTTACTATTTGCAGGTTGAAATATTTAATTATTTCTTCGTCACCATACCGGATATGCCGACCAGGTGGCTGGGTACGAGAATAAGCGAAAAAGGTCCATACTTGGCGTCAACTATTTCGTGCTTCATCGTCGAGCCTAGGGTAGCTTCCACACTGCAGCAACCACACACTGTTGTGTGAGCGCATGGCTTCCTCTCGCATGCGCAACCAGCTTTGAAAGAATTAGAACACTGTGGAGGCTATGCTGGGCTTGACGACGTAGCACAAAATAGTTGACGCCAGGTAGAGTAACACACCGCCAACTTCTGGTCTGCGGAGAACAGATTTCACACCATCTCATTTTTCTCGTAACATTGTCTTTAATTTGTTAGTTGTGATGTGCCAACTTCGCAGTCGATACATTTTAATTGGCTTCTACTTCTGTCAAAACAAATCGGCGTATACATATTTCGAACCAGCCATGTCTAGATGGCCTTAAGCCCTCTGAATCGTAAACAATCCCAAAAAGGTTGTTTGTCACGCAAATGTATTAATCAGATAAAAATAAACTAAAAATAAAACAAGGCTTTTTGCAAATATTCACTAAAAATGAAATAATAATGTGAATAAAATTAATCTTACCTCAAACACATTTCCAAGATGCGAGCAAAATAATACATTCTGTATACATATAGAAATAAAACAACTATGACAAACATGATCTAGTGAATGCTAATCACAATGGTAGTGCACTGAGACAAAGTCAACTCAATACCTTGTTGCGTAAGTGCCTTCTACGTCAGAGTGTATTCGGTTGATTACCCAGGATATGCCCGGAGCTTTATGTCCACAATATCAAAAGAACAGCTCAGTTCTACCTCTGACAAACCAGACACTGCATTTTCAATATATGCAGGGACGTACGAGGTCAAACAAGCTAGCGCCACATTATAAGTTAGCAACCAGGATGAGGGCAGGAGAAGTAGACGACGTGCTGGCAACTTCCCATCGTTGCGCTTCTTTGGCAGTGGAGGCGCTGGCTATTGCCCGACTGCGGTGCCTCCTAGACATGTGCTCTGGGGCTATTGGCAAGTGGAGTATGCGGTGTCATCTGACGAGCACCGAGGTTACCGAGCAGAGAAAGCGAGGAGGAGAATTGTGATGTTTTCTTGGCGGTGTTCAAACAGAAATCGAACTGACAGACGCTTCAACTTACACAATGTTTGATGGAGTTGTGTCGCCTTACGATTTCTGAAGCATCCTGTTTGGACAAACCTTAAAAAAATAAAATAGTGCAAAAAAAAAAAAGAAATTAGGCACAAGAAACAATAAAAACAAGCCATCCCCATCCTAAAAATCGGCGCTACCAAGCAGTTCCCCGAAGGCACCTCTACCAAAGGAGGAGAACTCGCAGCAATCCGCCTCGCCCTTGAGACGGTCCTCGCAATCCCTGACCCGCTAACAATGAATCTCCGGATCTTTAGGCCCGCTTCAGACAGGGCAACTTTTCCAGCAATCTTGAGGTTGCTGGCGGGTTGTTCCCTAGCTTTCCCTAGATCGACGCAAATTGCTGAGATCGGGTCTGGCTCGAAACGGACGAGCTACTCGAACAACTTGGAGACGTTTGAAGCGGCAGCAGTCAATCAAGGACGCAATATTTTCGCGTGACACCCCTGTGGTGGTGGTATGACAGCTAAAGACTTGGCTCTGGTTTGAAATGGATCGTTTTATGAAATAAACCGTTTCAGAAAGATGAGTTAGTATTCTCAACGCCATTCAAAGATATAAAAACACGTTTTTAGCGTGTAGCTGTGCGTCTAAATAGAGCAAGAAAAATCTAATTTCACGATGATGATGGCAAGTCTTAGCAATTCGGTTTTGCTGCGTGTGAACGTGGTCGGCCCGTGTTGTTGGTGTTGCGACGTCAAGTTGCTGGGTTAAATTGTCTCGTCTGAAGCGGGCCTTACAAGTTTGCAAAGGGCAGTGAAGGAATGTAGGAAAAAAAAAAAAGAACAGTCCAAGCCGGATAGTTTGCACAATAAAGAAACTTGCCTCTCAACTAGTCTCAAGAGGCACCACCACAAGAATTGCATGGGTCACGCGTCGGTTATTCTTCCCTGCTGTTCGGACAAAATACCTGCATCACAATATGAACACAGGTACGGCCATGCTCGCAATCGGGCGCAGGCCTACTGGGAACCACAAGAATATGATCAAGGCGAGGTTCAAGCCAAGGTCAGGGAAAACTACGTAGCAAAACTCGGAGGAGCTCCCCAAAAACCCGGACCTGCTCCTTTGCACGGGTTTTGGAAGACGGGCGAGAGTTCTCGCGACTCGAGTAAGGACGGACACCGCACTAACACCAGGGGCCCTATGTTGCACGTTTTGGACTCCGACGGCGACTAGGGAGAAGGAAGCGACGTCAACAACGCAGAAAATGCAGATTGGATGTTGACTGATGAGAGATCAGTCAACATCCAATCTGCATTTGCTGCGTTGTTGACATCACTTCTTTCTCCGTAGTCGCCGTGGGAGTCCAAAAAGCGCAACATAGGGCCTCAGCGCGCATCGCATCTTGAAGCCAAGGAAAAACATACGGAACTTGATCCAAGTACGACATGGGCATCAAGGCCTACATTTTTCACTCCATGTGGGAAGGTCCTAAGTACAAAGACATAAGGGCAAAACATGAACCAACAGACATCGCATCTATGGAGGGGTGGACACACCCATCAGGCTCCGAGAATGACAGACGAAGAGTCTTGAAAGCTCTCCTGGATTTTATCTTCGAGGCCAAGCTGGACATATTCATTTAGATTCAGTAACCTGTTTAGTGCCAGCGTCCAGATCTTGACACCACCGGCGCACTCCCTCATACTTTATTCCCTCTTTTCTTCTTTTGTGGCATTAAACGTTTTCTGACTGACTGACAAGAACGGCACAGACACGGCGCTGTTCTACCTTGCTAAGAATAGGGAGGCTCAGCTAAGAAAGGCTCCTGTTTGTTGAGTAAGGAAAAGTCTAGAGGTAGAGGTATCAGAACATGAAACCGACCTCACCTCCAAAAGCTCGCTCTACCAGCGCTCAAATGCCTTCTCAGAGTTGTTGTTGCACACCAAAAAGAGTCAAACAAATGAAGGGCGCCATGTTGGATATTGAATGGCTTGGCATAAAAACGGCTTCAAATACACTCCTACGTCCCATACGTAAAATAATAAAAACCGTTGTTTGAAGTTTGTCATCAATTTATTAATAGCATGATTAGTTGTTATTATGCTTTTTAATTCCCTGAATATAAAATAATATAGTTGCTCGTTTAAGTATTAAAAGCCCCCCAACCACGGGCGAGGATTTCGGCGCTAACCCCTAGTCTCTTTGCGGTGTCGCGGTTTTACAACTTACAACTTGTTAGAACAAACGCCGCGCCAGAACTGGAGGCAGCGGTCCGTATGTGAAAGTGAACTAAGTTTCACGCTGAAAGACTTCCCGGCCTGTTCAACGAACAGGTACTGTCCTCGTTAGGTGCGTTATGCAGTGCGCCGAGAAACTAGGAGGTGACGAGGTGGGGACGTTAGAACGCCGAGCTCTGATTCGGATAATAATAATAATAATAATAATAATAATAATAATAATAATAATAATAATAATTTTATTTGCACATACTGGAATGGGCACATGTGGTGGTGTGCGGGGCTAGGCAGATAGGTGAAAAACCCTTACGCAGAGCGCCTGCCACTCCGCCACCACATGTGAAAAAACATAACAGACATATATATGTACAGAATATACACAATACAGAAAGGACATGCAAAGGAAAGAAAAGAAGGTGGGAAACAAGTAAGGCATTATGACGAGGATGCTAGCTGCATCCCATACATCCTGGCCAGCTCTCGCGACTCTGCCCCGTTTGACGGCAGGGGGCTGCGCACACAAAGGGGAAGTTTCAAAAAGTCTCTTATAGCAGCAGGGAGCAGTGAGGAACTGTGGCGCAATGTCCTCCCCCTCAGCTCGTCAGGTTGTCCACTTCTCTTGCCAATTCAATGCTTACTGGGTAGACCTAAACCAAGCTGCCTTTGTCTCCACACTACTCGTCGAATGCAAGATCCAAACTAAGGTGTTTGGAACCTTTGGAACGCGTCTCCATAGCCAAACGCCGCAAGCCGACGTTCCAGCGCCTTCGACGAATGCAGTGGAGACAAAGGTCTACCCACTTAACCTGAGTTCAGCGTTCTAGCGTTCTCTCTCCCCCACTTTCTCGACAGAGTTCGGCTGCTCGTGCTTTATTTTAAAAACTTGGGATTATGTGCACATGAGTAGAGCCGCAGTAAAGGGGCGGATGCGGATAAAAATTAGACAAATTTTTGCGGATCGGATGCGGATATCCGCAGATCCGAATCTAAATTTTTTCCCGTTGGCATTCAGTTCGTCGACTTCAGTGCCCCTTTAATGCAAATTGCCTGTTTTAAATAAAGTTTTGCTGTATGTTCAAAAAAAAAAAATTGGTCGGTGCATAGGTTTACTGTGCTGCCTGAAATGCAGCACAGTAAACCTCTGGCAACAGTAGGTTGTGTCCGTAAACCTAAAAGTCGTTTCTCCAATGCCATCCTCACGAGTGTGCTGGGAACGTTTTGTAAATATAGCATGCACTGAACTTATCGTGCTGTACCGTCGGTGAACATAAGGTATGCCCGCAAGGTGCGAGCAAGTTTTCTCACAATAATGGCAGTTTCAGCTTTTAACTTTTTAGAACTTAATTTATCTTAATGCTGATATTTGGCAGGGATTACATTGACTTGATTTATCATCTGCAAGGCTTAGTTGAAGGCTCATTTCTGCTGCTGGGCGTGGCTGGAAATTGACAGAGTTCTTATAGTTTTCCATTTGATTTCCCGTGCGATACCAGAGAGCCCTGAACTAATATTGATTGTCACAATGCGACTGGCTTCTTATTTTAAAATTGAGTACAAAATGTAGCTGGAAAAAAAAAACTTAAAATTTCTCTTGTTCTCATATGCTCGTGCATCGATTTCGAATCTTTGATCGACTCACTTCAATAATGGGCCCATCCTGACTTTGCTGTTTTTAGCTCTTGACAAGGGATGCTCAAATAAAACTTCCATAAACATCTCCAAGCCAGTGGGAGCCGCCTTTGATTGTTCCTTGCAGTTTTCTTATTTTGCGCGTCCTTGTTCACATTATATTCCGTTGTTGTGGACCACACAGTATTTTCAAAAATATTCTCTGTGTACTGCATCTAAAACGACGAAATATCCGAAGGGAAACTCGGTTGCTGATAACTGATGCAATATTTTGAGTACTGGCGCAGATTTCTATCAGTGGCACATTCCGTGCCACACTCATCGGCATCTCCAAACTGGCAAATGCCATATTACCTCACTTGCACACCGAGCGGCACAAACTTTGAAATGCAATAAATACTATCACTATCACTATCAAAAGACGGTCCCAATGAGTTGAAAAACGCCATCCACGGCACACAACTACACAAGACACGCCCTAAGTCGGATATCCAGCATCACCCAACTAGCACCGCCAATGCAATAGTGTACGGCCCTGGGGAGGAAAACAAACAGTGGTTGACGCTCCTTCTCACAGATGGCACAACATAGAGCAAAAACGTAAGTTTCTTTGAGATGAACATTCAACAACAGATCCGAGAGTGTGTAGCAGCACTTGTGAGTGGCGGTGTCTAACAGACAGTTTGTTTCCATTTTTCTCCCTGTACCTAGGTAGAGGTGGGAATTTTTTGGCTTAAATATGTTTCCTAAAACCTAGATTTGAATTTTGAGTGAGATATACCGTATTTACTCGCAGAATGAACGCACTTTTTTTTCCGAAAAATCGATGCAAAGTTAGGGGGGGGGGGGCGTTCATTACGCGAAGTAAAATTTTTGCGTCCGTATTTACTCGCATAATGAACGGACCTTTCATCCTGAAAGATCGAAGTAACTTCTTATCTCTTTGCGCGCGGCGCCCGATCCCGTACCCAAACTAAGCTGTGCAAAAAAAAAAAAAAAAAAATCCTCTTCGTTTTTTTTTTCTTAGTTCCTTGTTTCTTTTTTTTTTTTTTTTGCCGCCTTTCGCAAGTTGTTTTGTCTGCTTAGGCGAGGGCTCTCCGCTTATCTTTCTTATTTCCTTGCGCGCGTCGCGCGACGCACGACACCCATAACCGAACTGCGCTGTGCAAAAGAAAAAAAAGCTTTTTCTTTTGTTTTCAGTTCGACACCCATAACCGAACTGCGCTGTGCGAAAAAAAAAAAAAGCTTTTTTTCTCTTGTTTTCGGTTCCCTGTTTTTTTTTTTTTTTTTTTTTTTACTTGCGGCTTTTCGCAAGTTGTTTCGTTTGCTTAGAGGGCTTCTCTGCTCCTCTTTCTTACCTCCTTGCGCGCGGCGCACGACCCCTCGTAACCAAACTGCGCTGTGCAAAAAGAAAAAAAAACTTTTTTTGTTTTTTTTTTTAGTTGTGTGTTTTTTTTTTTGCCGCCTTTCGCGAGCTGTTTTGTTCGCTTAGAGCGCTTCTCCGCTTCTCTTTCTTACCTCCTTGCGCGCGGCGGCCCGCGAACCCAAAGACCAAACTGCGCTGTGCAAAAAAAAAGAAGCTCCTTTTTGTTTTGTTTCTTGCTTCCGTTAGATCTTAGCGATTTTTTTTAACGCCTTTGGCAAGGCGCTTTTTTCGCCCACGCTGCCCATGCATTCGCGACCTCGCTGCACCAGGATAGAAAAGTGCGTTCATTTCGCGCTCGTGGGGGGAGGGGGTCAAAATTTTGACGTCCGAGTTGGGGGTGCGTTTATTACGCGAGTGAAAAAAAAAGGCGAAATTTTGAGAGCCGACTTGGGGGGTGCGTTCATTACGCCAGTGCGTTCATTGTGCGAGTAAATACGGTAAGCCCCACGTGAAGACATATTTGCAAAAAGTTTCATTGCATGTGGTTCATTGGTTTACTTATACCAGGGGTCTCAAACATGATGCAGCCCGCGACTCGCTGGGACGCGGCCCGCAGGCAAACGGCTGCGAGTCCCGGCTCCCATGTCTCTAGCGCTAGAAGTGACATGCTCCATAGTGATTTCATGTCGTCAATTAATTTTCACTCGAAAAGTAGCTCCTCTCTTTATAACATATTCACATGGTTTATACTTATCTCTGTTCATTTGCCCTTTGTTTCGCTTTATTTTTTGCTTCCCAGCTTTTTGTAATGTACTACAATTCCTCTATTGGAAAGCAAGCACGAGTTATTCGTTGAAGGATGCATCTTGTATGTGCGAGCTCTCGATCAGAAGGAGCAACTGCAAAAAATGAAACTACAAGCTTGGGAGTTCTTGCCTTCAAAGAAATATCACCATTAATAGACAACTATTTTTTTTTAGTATTATAATAAAATTTGTTAGGAAAGTAAAAAACTACCAAATTAACTCATTTCTTTCATAAACACCTTGAGCTTGATTAATTTCTGAGTGAATTTTGCAACGGGAACGACAGTGTACTTGCTCTCTTGTTCTGTTAAAAATGCCAACACGTTGCAGGGCAGTGTCATCTCAGTTATGGCTATCACATCAGGTCAGGGCCCAAAGTAGTCATATAAACAAATCAAATCTAAAGACATCACTGGCAGGTTCACAGGTTCCCTTGCCACCCCCTCCCCCCGTGTTATGTTGGCCCTCGACCTTTCCGGACCTTTCCGGTGCGGAATATCTGGCCCCCATTTATACACTTTCTTACGCACAAATAGCGCTCGGAAACACCCTGTATATGACTTGCAATGGTCGCACCAGTGCCATTGTGGTGGCTTTGCTGCTGAGCACGCACCTTCTGCATTATTTGTTTTTCTCGGCAAGAACGAGTAAGGGGTTTGTTGGCCGGGTGCGATGATGTTGTGTGCGGGCCATGTGTGGTGCTACGCTTCCTAGCTGCAACAAACGGGCTCCGTGCAGTTGGCACTTGAGATTCGTAAATGTCGAACACTGGTCCATCAAGCTTGGGCCTTACGTTCGGTACTTACGAGTGCACTGCAGCATCTGCCTTCTTCCCTCCTGCTCATGCGAGACGAGATGAGGTGATGCGGATGCTGCATCTTCCAAAGTATATGTCACTTCGTTGCAGACTATAGCAGCTCTTTCTGCAAAT